ACACACACACACACACACACACACACACACACACACACACACACACTCTGTACTGTACATAAGTAGGCTGAAGCTTGTTATTCCTCCTCTTTCTTACTCCCAGTACACCACCAATACAACCTCTCCTCCCTTATACATTTCTCTCTCTCGGCTCATTCTTTTCTTCTTCCTCCTCCTCTTCACCTCCCCCCCAACCCCACCCGCTCCTCTCCCTCGGTCCCAGCGAACAACAAGCCTTCACCTTCTCCCACGCTATCATCTCAAGTCCCCAAACACACAGATTGTCTTCCTCCCCCTCCTTTGGCTGCCTGGCGCTCACTTGCTTCCACTCTGCAGCAGCTGCACCTCTAACCTCAGCAGCCTCCCTCCATCCCTGCTGCGGTGCCGGGGTTCCCTTCGTTTTCTTTCACTCGGGAAGTTTTTTTCTTTAAAATTTACAGATGTATATGCGCTGCAGTCGGTGAATAAGTGATTTTAAAAAATGGCCTCTAAATAGTTCAAGCGCTTTTCATTTCAGGTGAGGAGATGAATTTAAGACGGTATTTATGTTAAGTAGACTCTTCTTCATTTTCTTCCACGTCTGAGAAGAAAACCTTGAACTTGAAAAATGATTTTCAACATGATGAGTGTGATTATTAACCTTCACTTCTGCTTTTCAAGGCATTTCTGCTGAGCCTCGTATTAAATTCATCATCAGCTGACAGAAAATCTGCCGCATAGTTGAAGCTCCAGCAGTGAGTCAGGACTCACCTGTTTAAATGCATTTGTAGGGGTGTGGCCTGTTTGATTGGCAGGTGCGTGGTGGCACAGGCAGCTGTAGCTGTTAGCTGTCTGCTGCTCTGGCCGGGAGGTTATCGTACTAGAAGGCTGACCTCCAGTTTTGGTCCACAGTGAAATTCTGGCATTTTGATTGGATGTCATTGAGCATCATTGTGCGATGCTTCCTGACAGTCCATGAATGAAGGCGATGTGGTTGGACTGAAGGACTGAGGAGCACTTGGTAAGTGTTATGCAGGGATGCAGAAGTGGTGAGGTTGATGTTCTTAGATTTACTTGGTTAGGTTTGTGCACTGAAAGGCTCAGTCTAAGGGTCCTGCTACAAACTAGCATGTGGCTGCTTTACTGCTCTGAAAGACACTTGGTGAGGTTTCACCAGCGGTTGTGGTTTGAGTCCAAATCGCTCTCCACACTGATGAATGACGCTCGTCTGGCGTGTGGACGTGTGACGAGCTGGGAGCTGAAACTGTGCTGTCGCATGTCTTTAAACACAACCTTGTCATAATAACTCTCATTTGTGACAATATTAGATATGATGAGGTGCAGAAAAGTCAACCTGGGAGCCAGAGTGTTCCCGCGAGAGCTCATTAAAGTGACAGTCAGTGAGCATCAGTTATGCTGATGTCCAGTGACAAAGAGATTTATGAAAGTAAAGACACAAACATGAATTACTCAGGGTGCACATTTTTCCCATAAACCTTTGCTCTGAGGCATTACGGTCTGAATTAAATCAGTGACGAGGGAATGAGCTTTGAGAGCGACGAGAGCGGCTCATTAAACAGCTGAAAACAAACACGCTCTGATTTGGTGGATTTTACAGTTTGTGTACCTGCAGCTTCTTTGCACGAGCAAATGTTAGCAGTGGACTGTGGACATCCCACTAAGCCTTTCCTATCACAAACATCTGTCCTGTGTCTGCTTTGCTTCAGCAGCGTCTCTGTCCTTCCAGTGAAGCACGCCACTTCATTATTAGACCCCCAATAATAAATGTGAGCTGTGGTTGGTTTGGGCCGTCAGAGGCACTCAAACAGAAAGCGCTCACCTATTGGTTAATGACTTGTCAATCACAGGTCATGAAACAGTTAGCAACATGTAGGCCAAAAAAAGCAGGTTTAGGTTAACATCAGGATACACAAGGAGTTTTTAATGCGGGGCCTTCGGGGCAGCCGTTTGTATGATCGTCTCTAATGTGATGAAGTTGAACAGAAGTCAGTCGTTTGTGTTCAGTGTGTGCTTTGTTTGGTGTCTCAGTCGGTCTGGTGTGGATGGCCTTCAAGTGTCTTCGACACATTCTGAAGTGTTCACGTCGTTAATTATGAGTTTCAGTCATTTTCATGCAAAAAGAGTCAAAAAATAAAATAAAGTTGAACTTTTTGTAAGAACAGTTTCAGCTGTTTGTGCTGATGTTTCCTGAGAGCAGGACTTGAATTATAAGACTAACAAACTGGCACTGAAATGAGTTTAACATGGATTACAAATATTTTATATGAAACAGTCACTAAAAATGTATGTAGAATATATTTACATGTAATTTAAACTGATTTGAAGATTTTGAAAATGTTCTTTATTCAATTTTATTTATACAGCGCCAAATCACAACAACAGTCGCCTCAAGGTGCTTTATACTGTAAGGTCGACCCTACAATAATACACACAGAGAAACACCCAACAGTCATGTGACCCCCTATGAGCAAGCACTTTGGCGACAGTGGGAAGGAAAAACTCCCTTTTAACAGGAAGAAACCTCCTACAGAACCAGACTCAGAGAGGGGCGGGGCTATCTGCTGTGATTGGTTGGGGTGAGAGAAGGAAAACAGGATACCCGTCTTCCTTCCTGTACCTGTCTGATTCATGATGTCATCACAGTCAGGCTGGCTCTCCATCTTTATTACCTGACACTGAATCTGAACCAACATCTGGTTTGCAGATGTTTAAGATTCAAAGATCCCGTGAAGATTCACTGCTAACCTGTCACTGACCCCGTGGCTGAGTTATCCCTCGTTATGGAATAATTACCAACAAATTACAATCCAGTCAAAGCCTAAAAGGGAAACGTATCCCGTCACTGCTTCCTGTTTCCGTCTCCTGCCTTCCTTCTCTTATGGCATCCCTGTCGGGATTTGTTTCGCATGTTTGTTGGTTTATGGAGGGACGTTCTGGGTGAGACTCGCCGTCTTCTCTCCGGTTCAGCGGATTTCTTGTTTGAGTGAAGCAATCCTCGGTGCCGAGGCTCCGTGAGCAGCAGATTCACGGCAGGATTCAAACATCACAGCGCAGCGATGCAGGGCTGCTGGGTCAGCGCCTCGGTCTGCCTGATTGCTGGAGTAATTGTGCCTGATTGGCATTAGCATAGGTAATATGGAGCACCCCGGGGGCAGCGGTGGTCCCAGCCCCCCTGAGTACTTATGGTGCCCTGCTGCGCTGCTGCAGGCAGAGAGCTTGTTGGTTGAGTAAAATGCTGCTGGATGCTTCTGATGTGTTTACTGTTGGAGCTTCATATATGCTCTGAATATTTATGTGCAAACACGAATGTATTTGGAAACGTTATTGCTCGTGTGCAGCGAGAGGCCCGATTCAGCCGCCCCAGCGGGCAGAGCGAATGAATTAGCACCTCTTGTCCAGTAAGAAACGAAGCTAATTTATACTCTAATTATGACGATGTCTCAGGGATCAAATTAACATTGTGTGTGTTTGCATATCTGTGTAAATATGGAAATCAGTGTGTTGTTATTCCCACACATGAATGTCACCCCGGTTATTGTGCACTCCACACGGCTGCAGCTCGCCCGCTTCCACGCTCATTCATCTTCTTCTCCTCTCTTAATTCTGCTGCTCAGCCAGCCTCGGAGCCTGTGATGGGTGGAGGAGGAGGCGGAAGAGGATTAATTAACGGCAAGCCAGCGATGAGGCAGAGACTTCCTTTAAGTTTGCTTCCTGTTTGTGTCTCCAGTCAGACGAGCACTGAACCACGAGTGGAGCTCATTCCAGCGATTTTAGGGCACAAACGTGTATCTGTGCTCCCCCTCCCCTCCTCCTCCTCCTCCCCCTCCCCCTCCCTTCATGTGTGCGCGTGCAGGGCCCGTGGGAAGCACTCGCTCTGGGAGCAGACCGTCTGCAGCCCTGAATAAATGTATGTGGGGGGGGGGCAGAGAGAGTGTTGGAGGACATACATGCAGAGAGACGAGCTTTCAGCTTCCTTCAGTGGTCCCTGCATCTCCTCCGAGCTTCCTCACACGCACACACACGCATGCACACGCACACACACACACACACACACACACTCTGGAAGTCCTCTCTCTCCTTTGTTGTTTTTCTGTTGGTTGGTCTCGGCGACGGCGGAGCAGCGTGCGCCTCTATCGCCGTTTCTGTGTGTGTGTGTGTGTGTGTGTGTGTGTGAGTCTGCAAGGCGGCGTGTGAAGGATACCACTAGCAGCGCCCGGGTAAGTCAGCCTCTTCCTTCCATGGTTTTTTTGAGCGTTTCTCTCCATCTCGCCTGGGATCCTCGCCTCTCTCCACCTCCTCTCCCTCTCCCGCCCTCCCTCTCTCTCTCTTATTGCTCTGCTTGCTCTCTCTCTCCCTCAGTGTCTCTCTCGGTCTGGGTTACGCCGTTTCCTCCCGACCGCGCTCTTGCCATACCTGCTTCTCTCTCTCTCTCTCTCTCCTCATTGGTGTGTCCTGATTCCTTTTTTCCATCAGGCTCTGGGCCCCATTGGTCGTCTGCCTTCCAACCATTATCTCCACTCCTCCACCCCTCTGTCATCCTTTCTCGCTCTCCGCGCTCTCTCCACCTCCTTCCCTCATTGCCGGTCACATCTCTCAAGTCGTAAAAATGATTTGCATGCAGGAGGAGAGCGCAACTTTGCAGTGAGAAAAATAAAGGAGAGGCTGAAACCGGGAGAGCAGGAGGAAAAGTTTACTGAGAAGACTGCAGCTGGAAGGTAACTCCTGCCCGTTAACGGCTTCTCGTGTTTCTGCCGTGCCCGTAGACGTGACGGTGTGATGTTGATCGGCTGCCCGGCTCAGTGAGCGTTTCGGCTGAATCGGAGCCTCGCGGTCGCTCCGGTGTCGTATCGTCGGGCTTTGTTTCTGTCATGTTGCTGCAGTCGGGCGGGCTGTTGTTGCGCCAGGTATCGTGAAGAAACTTGCATGGTTCACAAGTTTGTTGTGGAAGTTTGGTGCTGAGTGCTGCTCTGCACATTCGCGCTGTGTTTGCTGGAAACGTGTCTCATCGTTATGCTGCTGAATGCTGGATTATTGCAAGATTTCCTCCATGTTTGTGTTCTCGAGCGCTTTGATTTGCACGCACATGTGCTGTCACTCTGATGTCTTCATGGACGAGGCTGAGCGAGGCAATCTGAAGTTCAGCTCAAACTTCAAGCACATGCTGTCCCTTCGGTCTGCTCTTCCTCCTGATGCAGATGTTGTGCGTGTGTGTCTGCATGCACTCACACAGATGCACTGTAACACGTTTCATTCTGTCATGACAAGCAAAGCTTTGCTGCTTCCACAGTGAGTGTTTGTGAGCGCAGGATGGAGGCGTCGCTCGGACACATCTGGAGAGGAGTCCAGACTGACCCTGCGTCGTCTGACACATCGGTGTTTTCAAAGTGAAAGTGTGTGCAGGCTGGGATGAATTCATTTATCGGCCGGTGTCAGTAGTTCAGCAGGTTTAACCTTTGTGTTCCTCAAATCTGAGATTTAGTTGAGTAAATCTGTGATTCAGAGATAAAGTGATGCAAACCTGAGAGACTCTAAATGAGTTCAGTGAAGATTTCTTTCTTTGTTTTCTGCACAAAATGGAATAAAAACATAACAAATCAATAAAAGCCCAGAGCAGTCTCTCAGTCCTGACTTTAGTGTGAAGTCATCTCAAACCTGTGAAACTGCTCTCACTGACGCTCCTACAGTTACAGTAAGAAGTGCATCTCTGAGCCGAGCCGCTCGGCGAGCTGAGGTGAAGCCGTGTTCTCCGGGATGTTCCTGAAACGGCGGCAGGAAGGAGACGGCGTGCTTGTTAGAGAGAGAGCGCGTGGCTGATGTGCTTTGCAGAGCGAGCCGAGGACAGCGAGACAGCTGAATGTGATTAAATTATAGAGGGAAAGCATGCTACCTGGTCTGACTGAGACCAACGCTGTGGGAACCCCCTCCTCCTCCCCCTCTCCCATCTCCTCCTCTGTGTGGTGTGAAAGTGAAAGAACCCGGGGAGGCTCGTCAGAGAGAAAGTCAGGTGTTGATGCTGAACGTGGACTCAGTGTAACGAGTCACGGCATCGACGAAGACACGGGTGGGGGTCTTTACTGCTCGGCAGCCTAATGAACGAGCAGGAAAAAGCCTCCCGGGGATCCCCTTCATGCAGCCGCCAGGGTGGGGGTGTGGGGGCAGCTGCGTGCTAATATTAGCTTCCATGTTGAATGGCTGGATCCCACACGAATCAGGCTTAGCAGAACTGCGGCGTGCGGTAACACAGAGCATGACTGTGCGCTGAGGCTGGACTGCCCGTGTGTTCGCACGCTGACGTGCATTTAATGACACGAGTGAGGACGTGCTCGACTCGCCCTCCTTAGGCGTTTCGAAAATATTAACAATTTCTAAAAACCCGTTGCTTTCAGCATGTTATACCACCACTCAAGCGCCTTGAGGCGACTTATGTTGTGATTTGGCGCTATATAAATAAAATTGAATTGAATTGAATTGAACTCACCACTAGGAGGCGGCGCCTCTTTCGAGGGGAGTGAGGCGGGAATTAAAGCCCCAAAACCTCTAGTACAATCAGAGCTCTGCTCACTTTCTGTTCCACAGGGGGCGCTCTCGAGCTCACTGTTTGGACATTGTTGACAGGAGAGCTCGAGACAGTAGAAAAGATTCTATTTGCAGATGTCTTGCAGGTTTCTATTGTAGTGAAAAACCATTCGTATTCACTCCTGCTCACTGATGTCAGAGCGCCCCCTGTGGACAGTAAACCCTCAATCAGAGCCGCTCGTTAAAGGGAGGGTTAAAACCCGATTATTGGCGGGCGCGATCGATGGATTCAAACGAAACACACTCTGTGGTTGAAGTTTCACGTCAGCTGTTTTTTTAATTTGTCGGTTCATCTGTGACGCGCATGTTTCTGCAGGCATGTCCTACTGAGATAAATAAAGTTTTTCTCATACAGGAAGCAAGAAAAAATGAAACAGTGACACGTTAACGACGCAGATAATCTCTCTGTTATCATCTCGCACTGTTTCTATGCTCAAACGAAATCGCAGAATAAACAAAGTGAAAGTTGATGAACGACTCACAATGAGGCAGCGTTTCTGTGTTTGATGCTTTTATTGTTTCAAATTATAAAACGACGTAAAGTGTATTTAAAGGCAGAGATGGATCAGCGGCGAGGGTCAGCTGACGGCTGTGGGAATGTGAAGCGCTCCGTACGAGGCGACTGCAGCACGGGCTGCTGTGAGCGAGAGCGGGAAACGGCGTGCGAAGTTAAAAATGAAAAAATATTTGCTCCCCGAGGCGAAGTTTGGAAAACTAAAGTATCATTTCTGGGAGACGCAGTTTCACCTCGCACGTCTGCAGCACATCTGTTCCTTTAACATGAACCTGATTATGCAACACATGCTAAAGATGACAGAATGATGCCAGGTCTCTCTTGGAAATGAGATTTTTAATCTCAATGAGATTTTTTACCTGGATAAATAAAGGATTAATAAATAAATGATTCCTGTAGAAGAAAATAATCACTGTGACGGCACAGCGGTCAGTGTTCCACTCACTGTGGACCTGTGGGAGTGCTCTCATCATCATCATCATCATCATCATCATCATCATCATCATCATCAGTATTGTTGTTACAGGTGTTTGCGGTGCTGTAGTAGCTGCGTATCGGCGTCCTCAGCGTCCTTTGTTCTTACCTCACGTTCTCCAGAGTTCATGTGATGTGTTTGTTTCTTCATAATTGAAATTTTTATGTGCAAACGATGAAATTATGGAACGTCTGCGTCCACACTCTGGGAAAAATCTGGGAGTGGAAACGATGATGTCGACCGTGCATGTGTATGAGTTTACTGATGAAAGAGCGTGTGGACAAATCAGGTGACCCTGGTCTGCACCGCCGGGGCTCTCGTTCCTCGGGATGAGTCGCAGGTTCGGCAGCGGCCGATCTCGGCTCAAACATTTAATCATGATGTGGATTTTTGGTCTCATTCGGGTCATTCCGAGCTCGCTGTGCGTGTCTTTGTGGGAATCAATGCGGTCTTCCAATCAGTCTCCGTGACGGGCTCGGGCAGAGGGGAGATCGATCGATTCGAGCCGACACGTCGTCGATGCCGACATCTACTCGGTGTAGGATGTGGCCGCTCGCGCGTCCTTCGCACACGCACTCCTGCGGCGGCTGATTAATTATGCCGCTCATCAGTCAGAGCACGAGTTGTAGCAGATACTGTAAAATATCAGCAGCGTTTCCAGGCTGCTGTATTCAATGTGATGGTGACGGGACGAGGTGACACGGGCCAACAACAATTCATATCGAAGGTTATTATGATCACAAAGTCGCTGCTCCAACACCTGGGATCCTTTCATTCCCTCCTCTGCCCCATTGTTTACATGCAAATCGAACTGTGTGCATATCCAAAGAATCTACAGTTATACAGGAAAGAATGAATGAAACAAGGAGACATACAGAGAACTAAACAGGAAGAACACCGAGGGAAAGAGGAAGTACACAGGAAGGTTACAGAAGACTGAAAAAGAAGGAAGTAACACAGAAAGTGAGGAAAAAAGGATATATCAGGGAAGCGAAGAAAGGAAGCATGCAGGGAACAATGATATAAAGGGAGGAGAAAGAGGAAGTAAAGAAGGAAGAATGCTGTAGAGCAGGAAGGAGGTATGGCATACAGGAAGAACATGGGAAGGAAAAGCATACAAGATGGAAGAAAGCTTATAAGAAGGTAGGAAAGTATACAGGAAGTTAGGAAGAAAGGACACATAAACAAAGAAAATGGGAGGTAGGGAAGGATACTGGACAGGAAGTAAGGAGGCGTGCAGAAAACGGGAAGAAGGCATGTTTTGGTAAAGGAGGAAATGAGGAAATGGGAGGTTTTGGATGTGTAATTAGAATATCAGGTAGAAGCACTCGTGTAACTGTTAGCTGTCGTGTCAGGACTGAAGTCCGACAGCAAAAGGTTAAACTGCTTGTTAGTGGATAGAAAATCGTATTACACGTGGCGGTTACCACCTGGATGTGGTCGTCTGTCCCCCTGTGTGAAAAAGGTCCACAGAAAACAGAGTACAGGGAGTTTCAGTGTGGGTATCCCTCCAGAGAGACACACACACCTTCGTGCCTTTCCTCGGGGAAAACGCGATCTATCTCCTGGCGGGCAGGCCAATTAAAAACCAATCAGGCTGCTTGGAGTGCGCTGGTAATGGGAAAGCCGAGGCAGTGAAGGAAGTGCGGCTG